TGTTACGGTCTAGATCAGGGATGACGAACCTTTTAGAGCTTTCAGTGATAACGAACAGTGCAGTGTGTCATGTGTACCACAGGGTCGCCACCCCTTTTCTAGATGGCTCACATATTAGCTTCTTTCTGTGCACGTATTAGATCATGAACAGTTAAATATTTCATTGCTGCTTAAGGTCAATAGCTTGCTAGGCTGTGTACCATGTTGCTTATGGCTTCACATTTCTCTGATCACACCCGACCATGTGACCTAAATTAACTGGCGTATCTGAGGGTCTCTGCCTTCCCATCCTTCTGTTTAGTTAGTTAGTTAGTTTATGTTTTATTTTGAGACAGTGTTTTGCTAAGGTGCTAAATCATTCAAGCTTGGCTTAAATACGGATCTCTTAATGTCTAAATGCTGGCTTTTCCCAGGTATAATTTGGAAACTATGATGTTCAGAATATTTCAAAGATATACAAATAAAACATTTTTATATATTGACATTTTTATATATGTGACGTGCTAATAGCAATTATTAAAAGTAATTTGGATTGTAACAATCAGAAACACTTAAAGCAACATCGTTAAGTCTTTTTTCCATTGCCGCTTTCTTATGTCAGTTTAACAAAGTGGTAACATAAAATGTCTCAAAAATATGCCTAGGAGCTAGTTTAGGGCACCAGAGCGCTCAGACTCTGAACAACGGGGCCAGGTTGCACCAGGCTCACACGCTGCTTGTACAGTGACCAGGAGACTGGGGCGAAAGCAGAGGCAATTGCACGAAAACGGAATTCCCGAAACTCACAGGCATGGCGTATTTTTATACTAGGGGCAGTATGGTTGCGAACTCTGCTTTTCTTGGTTCCCAGATTCTTCTGTCTTCTTGTTAAGTTGTAGCACACGAGTGAAACTCTTTTTTGAATGCAGGACCCCGGGGAATGAGTCTCAGATGCCCGGGGCCAGGGGACCTGGCATAACCCAGCCTTGCGAGGGGCACTTCAGCGCGGACGTCACTCACGGCAGCGCAGAAGGCGTCTGGGAAGCGAGGAAGAGGACGCACAGGTGAGCTGGCTTCCCTGAAAAGGCACCCCGCTTCCTCAAACCCCGAGAGCTTTTGATTAAGTTGGGATACTGACAAGGGAGGAAAGGACCTCTGCCCAAGGAAGCAGCTACGAAGTGTCTGGATCCAGGGCTGCTGGCCCCAGGTCCACTGTTCGGGGCTGCGGGCCTCCTGCTCTAGGGCCAGACCCTCCTACCGCTGCGTTTCTCCCACACAAGGGTCCATCACGCTCTCCCCCGCACTGAGGATGGGGCCTTTGGTAAGAAATAAATCCAGGATTGGGACTTTTCATTCCAATCATTGATAAAAATTTATAACAAAAGGAACCCAAAGAAATAAAAGTTTTCAATTTTATTTTTAAGACAAAAAATAAAATTAAGAAGTAGGACTATTTTTCCCCCTATCTAATTAGTCAACATTGTAGTATGGATTTCAGAGCCAAATTTCTCCTTGTAGAATCTAGGCTTCATGTTTATTAATAGTGGGAATTAGAGTAGGATACCTAACTCTCCCAACTGCATTTTTTTCCTTTCAGTAAAATGACCATCATTTTGGTATTTACCTCACATAGTTTGCATAAGGATCAAATGAAAAAGCAACTGTGTAGCGCTTGGGATCCTGCCTGGGGTGAGGAATCTACTCAGCCCATCTGATTGTGAAACTAAAAAGCACTTGAGAGGTTTTCACTGGGTCACTGACAGAGCAGCAGCTAGAGATGGAGGATGTGGTGCACACTTACCAGTATCGCGCCAGGTTTTCACACCGCCTGCCTCAGCTTTTCAGCAGTGCAGGAGACTGCAGTTTCTTATGATTTTCATCCATAGACTACATGTGGTGACACCCGTGGAGTGTACTTCCTTAGATTTTTCCACCTTGTTTTCCACAAATGATAAATAGAAGGAATAGAATAATAAACACCAGGGAAATCTGAAAGTCTTGACAGTGAATGGCTCTTAACCATCATGTATTTCAAGGCTTCCATATAAGAAAATTTTAAGCATGGGTTTCTCACTGTAAGTCTCAATGTCAGCCAACTCAGGATCTGGTCGTGCTTAATTACTTGGTCCTATATTGTGTAAATCTGAACATAGTAACATTTTAAGAAGTACAGTGAATGTTTGCAACAGAGAATAATAATTCCGCAAAAAAAAATAGAACACAGTAGCACACAGCAAAACTGACCTAGACTTAAGTGCTTGGACTAAAAACAACAGTAACTCCCTGGCATGGTGGGGCATGCTATAATCCCAGCACTTGGGAGGCTGAGGCAGGAGGATGGTCATGAGTTTGAGGCAAGCCTGGGCTACATAGAGAGATCCCATCTCAAAAAGAAAAGGGTGGGTAAGTCATTTTAGAAGCAGAGCACAGGCCCTGGAGTCAGGCAGAAAACTAGGCTATTTAGCAGAACAGAGTGTACATCCTAATGCTCCTCACAAGACTAAGTACGATTAGCAGTGACACTGGGAGCTTTCAGCAGTGGATAGAAAGATAAAGTCAGTGTGAATATTTTTAAAGATCAATTATCCTGTAAGAATTATCCAATACATTTTTAGCTATTTCTCTTAAAGATTGGATTATGATCTTTTGTTTTCTATATCACTCTATTACGGTACAACCATAGATACTTATCTTGCAAGCATTTAAAACTAAAATCTTCGCTTTGATGGCTATAAAGTCCTAAAAACATTCAGATGCATGCAGAATTTTGCTTGGTGGTCAGTAAGATCATCTTCCTTTTGTGAGGTTCTGTAGCACAGAGTCTTCCAGGAAGATGATCGGCCTCTGAGGTGAGACAGGGACATCCACAGCTCTCTGGGAGTTGGCCGGCTGACTTGTCTGCTGGGTGCTTCCTCGGAGGTGAAATGTGATGACGCTGTGTGTGTGGGGGGGTAGTTTTGTTGAGCACAGAGAGCAGGATGTGCAGTCCTGGCCAACCTGGGGAAGGTTCATGGCTATTTTACATGGACTTGACTGGCTTTGCTTCCTCTTAAGCCTGCACTGACTGTGTGATCTGTCTCTTCCTTCTGAAGAGTGAGATGCTTAGGGTTTGGAGTCTATACTTCCAACAGTGTGAGCCCTCAGCTTCCAAGTAAGGAGTCAGCACTGGGCATATGGAAGTCGGTTGTGCATTTGTGCCCTGGGGCACACTTGTGCACTGGTGTGACTGGCGCTGTAGCTAGGGCAGCAAAGCAGAGCCAGTCTTCCCTCCCCTAGGAAGCGTTCTCCATAGCAGCACACCACATACCCTCCACTAAGCTGGAGATGTGCTGATGGGAGAACTAAAAGTTAGGGAGCTGTGATACTATTATATTTATGAAATCCTCAGGAGCTGGCGAATCTGAAGCTGCTAATGAATTTTAGGAAAAGGTGTTCTGACTCACCTGAGAAAATAGGAGTTATTGCTTATAAATTGTATTTCCCATGTTAGATTTCACAAGAAGACCAGATATTAATGTTTATTCTGCACATAATCTGAATAAAACTACTCTGTAGCATCTATTTACACATGCTTGGCTACGTATGCTTATTCCTATTCCAATATAGTAAGAAATATTACCAGCAGATTTCCAAACCGCAAACTTCACAGACGTTGATGCAAATTCACAATCATGGATTTATACCATGCTTTCTGTTCAAGAGTCTCACCTTACAATTAGATCTCACCTTTCACCTTCCAAGTTCGAATAGTCTTAAGCTATTTAAATGGTTAGGTTATATTGTGTTTGCTACTCAATAAGGACAGTGACATATTAGAGAGGGAGTTATAGGCAAAAATGCAGTTTGGTAATCATCGATTTAAGAAAGAGAAACATCAATGATTACAATGAAAAGGATCTAATTTATATTTAATAAATCATGCAAGTTGGATGGCTTTTGCCTTGTATTGTAACCACAGTGGCATCAATTTGTTTAATTTATATCCAGTAGCACAATGGTTACTAGATGCCTGGATATTAATTTGTGGAGTGTCTTAACATACAACCTTAAATGGTCAAAGGAAGTTTGCAGATTTTGATAACGAAGACATTCACTATCTTGCTCTACCTGGAAAGGACCAGAGATTTCTCAAGGGAGGTGAATGGTCAGATACATTAGATGCAAGGCCAGAAGCAGAGTTTAGAGAGAAGTAAGATGCTTGGCCCAGCTTTAAGAACAGAAGAGGAGGCTCAGGGTGAGGGATGTGGTGTTTGGGTATTGCAAGAGGCAAACTGAATCCCTGGAACAGACTCAGGAAGGATGCTAACACCCACAGGTCACCGAGACTCACACACTTACTTCTCTAGGAGAACAAGATCACTAATTGCTGCTGTTTCCAGCTACAGAATCTATTGTAATTCATGACAGCAGTAACAAGAAACTCCCGTGGAGTGTGACGTGGGACTCTGAGTGGATCCGTGTTGCTCAATCAGTGCCAGTGGCCACCATCTCCCATCCCGGGACAGATGGCGAACCTGAGATGCAGGCCAAGGTTGGCTTCCTCGGTAGTTATGTCTCAGGGTCTCCCTGTGTAACTTTGCCCTTTCCCTGTCCCCTTAGAGCTGGGCACTGAGCCCAGGGCTTCGCGCATGCTGGGCAGGGGCTCAACCACAGAGCTTTTCTTCCGGCCACCGCCTGCTCTGCGAAGCTTCTCTAAACTGTGGCACAAAGGAATGGTGCAAAATAGGTCGGAGAGGTGAGCCGAACCACACGGTGACACACTCAGAGGTGCAGAGCACTGGGATCTCCTTCATACCTCATTCCAGTCCTTCCCCGGCAGCAAGGCCTCTCTCCTTGGCAAGACGTGTGGCCCTCAGTAGGCAGAGCTTCTATGGCCAGGCCATGAGCAGACTCTCCCTGCCACACAGAGAGCCTCTTGTAACAGTTTAATTTACCACACTGAGCAGAGTGCCAGGGTCTCTGAAGTGCAAGTGGCTCCCACATCTTCTCATCCTGCTCCTCCCTCTGGCTGCAGCTGCACAATGGTGAACTTCACACAAGTCTCAGAGTTTGTCTTACTTGGCTTCGGAGGGGGCCCAGGCACGCAGATCGCACTGTTCCTTGTGTTTCTGACCCTGTACTCCGTGGCGGTGGTGGGGAACTGTGGCATGATTGTGCTCATCAGGGCTGACGCACGCCTGCACACCCCAATGTACGCCTTCCTGCAAAGCCTGTCCTTGCTGGACATCTGCTATTCCTCCACGATTGCACCCAGGGCTCTGGTGGACTTCTGGGCCCAGGACCACACGGTGTCCTTCGGTGGGTGTGCAGCTCAGTTCTTCTTCCTGTCCCTGTTCGGCACCACCGAGGCCTTCCTGCTGGCCGCCATGGCCTATGACCGCTTCATTGCCATCTGTAGCCCGCTGCTCTACCCGGTGACCATGTCCCCCCGGCTGTGTGCACATCTTGTGCTGGGGTCCTACTTCTGGGGGGTGCTGAACGCTCTCACGCAGACGACCATGACCTTCACCCTGTCCTTCTGCGGACCCAATGAGGTCAATGACTTCTTCTGCGACGTGGTTCCCGTCCTGTCCCTCTCCTGCTCGGACACCTTCAAAAACCAGCTGGTTCTGCTCGGCTTCTGTGGCTCCATCATCGTGGGCACCTTCCTGGTCACGCTGGTGTCCTACATCTACATCATCTCGGCGATCCTGAAGATCCGCACGGCGCAGGGGCGCCACAAAGCCTTCTCCACCTGCGCCTCCCACCTCACCGGGGTCTGCCTGTTCTTCGGCACCGTTTTCTTCACGTATGCGCAGCCCAGCGCCGCATCCTCCATGGAGCAGAGCAAGGTGGTGTCCGTGTTCTACACCGTGGTCATCCCCATGCTGAACCCTCTCATCTACAGCCTGCGGAACAGTGACGTACAGCGCTCGCTGGGCAGGGCCACACACAGGCTCTCCTGGCGGTGACGGGGCTGAGGGCCCAGGGCCAGTGGGGATCCACTGGGCTACTGCTGCTCCCGGATCGGGCTGCCGTGTCTGCACCCCAGGCTGTGGTCCAGGAGACAGTTCCGCTTGTCTTGATGTCTTCACAGCGACAGAAACGTGGCTCACGTGGGGAAATGTGGAGGACTAGAAGACCGGGGAGATTGGGTGGATTTTTTGTGTGAACTTTATCCTGTGTATTACATAACATCTCCATAAGACTCCAATAGAAAGTATCTATGTAAAAACTGTGTACTTTTATAAAATAAGGAAAATGTTTATCTTGGATACTAGTCACTAAGGATAAACAAAGGTTAAAAAGAAGCTTTCATATTTAATAGAAAATATTTATAAATGTACACATTAGTAATTAGCATTTTCCGTTTGAAAATTTTAATAAATTGCACTGATAAATAATACTGTAATCATCTTATGGAGGTATAATGGGCATGCAATAAATTCATAATAGGTGAAGCTTAAGACACAAATTCTCCTCTAACCGCCCCGCAGTGAGGGTTACAAACACACTCAGCAGCGCAGACCTTCCTGGGACCTTGGCAAGGCTTGCTTCGCTTTCCTATAAACAGCTCCCTGCTCCAGATGCCAACGATGTGCTTTTACCACTGCGGATCAGCTCGCACCACCTCTAGTTTCACAAAACCGAATTGCGCATTGCGCGTCTTTGGAGTGTAGAAGGACACAGGCTGCCTTGCTGAGCACACGTACTTTGAGATTCATCTCATCCGTAGCACATATCAGTAGTTCTTGCTCTCATCTGGATACTATTTCATTGTGTGACTGTATCACACGGATGTACTGTATTTACCCATTCACATGTTGATAAATATTTGGATAATTTCCACTTTAGCGCCTTTACAAATGCAGTTGTAAAGGCCGTTATTCTGTGTACAAGCATCGATGTGGGCATCTGGTTTAATTTCTCCAAGCTAAATGCTTGGAAATGTAGGTTTCAGAAGTCAGTCATTGTGTGTTTAATATTTAAGAAACTGTCAAAGAGTTTTCCAAAGCATTTGTACTCTTTTACATTTTCACAAAAAATGTGCAAGTCCCAGATTCTCTAGAGCCACCATAAAAACTGGCATTTCCTGCCCTTCTTGTATAAGTTCTTTCAGTGAATATGCAGGGGTATCTGGGTTTAATTCTAAATGACAAATAGCTTTGAAAATTATTTCATGTGTTTCATCTCCGTATTGTCATATCTTTGTTTTGTGAAGTACACACCTATTTAAATCCTCTCATTTCTTTTCTATTGGACTGGTATTTTTCTTAGTTTTGAGATCTAACAGCTCATGTATTTTAAATACATATCAATTACAAAGATATATGATTTAAAATATTTCCACACAATATGAGTTATGATTTCATTGTTTTAACAGTGTTCTTCTAAGAGCAAAGTTCTAATTTTGATTAAATTCAATGTATCAATTCATTTATGTATGGACTATTTTCCATTGTCTTAAAAGATCTTCACTTAACCCAAAATGACAGAAGTCTTTTTTTCTACAGATTTTATAGTTTTCGCTTCACATTTGGATCCACGATCATTTTCAGTTAGTTTCATACAGTGCAACATGTAGGTTTCTTTTTTGCATATGAATTCAAGCATTTCAGAACCATTTCTGAACATACTAATCTTTTCTTACTGAATTGTCTTTGGACTATATCAAAAGTATGCTATTATAAATGAGGATGTTTTTCTGGATATTTTATTGTATTATATTAATTCTATATTTACACAAATACCACTTCTGTAGATTTAATTATAGAAGACTTTCATATTTTTCAGATTATTCCCTAAGTATTCCATGTTTTTGATGCATTGATTGTAAGTGATACTTCTTATAGATTCAATTTCTGATTATTTGTTGACAAGAAAGAGATGTTCAAATGGCTTTTACATATTGGCATATCTGTCACGCTTCTTAATTCAATTACAATTTCTGGTAAGATCGTACAGGTTGTTTCAGGGTTTCTATGCATTCAATTCTGTCTTCTACATAAATACATTATTATTTCATAATCAGATGAGTATTTCCCCTTTGCTCAATTTCTTTTATGCTTGATTTTGTTTTATTTTTAATTAATTAATTAATTTTAATTAATTTTAGTACCTGGCATCGAACTCAGAACCTTGGGCTTGCCAGGCAGGTGGGGGAACAAATGAGCTAAATCCCTGGCCCCCTGATTTTATTTTTTAAAAATTATTGTTTAATTTGGGGGGCTGGTTGAAATATCCCATAGGAAGCGAAAACAAAAAACATAAACAAAATTCATCCAGCCCTTTTTTCTGACAAGAGGCACACACTTTCTGGGTGTTTGTAAAGCACCTCCTCTTCTAGATTACCTGACACCCGCATGCCCAGCTACTCTCAAAACTCTGCTTTTCAGGAATGCCCAGATTTCTTTGCATTTACTCCACATCCATATGGTTACTCCATTACCATCCCACCTCCTAATCTCCTGATTCCCTAACTCGAGTATCGAAGGAGCCTCCTACCACACACCCGAGAAACAAAGTGCCATGCAGCACCGTGGCTGCTGTGGCTCTGTCCCTCTGCCCCTGGTACTGCACAAGCGTTTTGACACCAGGACAAAGATGAATCCACGAGCTGACACAGAAGCAGCTGTCCTGGTGATGCCTGGTACCACTTGCCGCTCCCCTCAGTGTCCCAGCACCAAGTTACTGATGTCAGGTGTGACCATGCGACCGTATCTGTGTCGGTCTAGAGCATAAAGCATAAATACTTCCTGCAGGAAATAATATAAGAAAAACATAAAAACAGTACTGGCACTCGTGTTGGTCAGAAGGTTAGTGCGTCTGCAGGATGCCGATGCCAGGGGTCCGTGTTGCCTGCCCTGCACCCCACCCTCCCAGCACTGGAGCCCTGCTTTGCCCTGCCATCAAGAGCAGCCCTTTCCTAGCAGACCTTACCTTTCCTTCGCCAGCAACCATGGAAGACAGGGCCTTCTGAGGGTCTCCTCGGTACGCATTACTGTAATGACCACCTTCACCATGGTACATTCATTGTATTTATTGTGTTTAAATTGGGTGTAATTCACCTTTGTAATTATTTGTGCTGATTTATGTATGGCAATATTTAATGCCTCATTCAGTTTCTTCTGTACTCTAAACAATTTGAACAGTTTTATTTCTTCCTGAGTCAATTTCAGCAAATTGAACACATTTTAAAATATTTTTATTCTGTTCTAGTCCACTTATTTGTTGGCATTGGCTTGATAGATTGCATATTTTATCTTTAAAATAATTCTATGACACTTTTAGTAATGCTTTATTTTTCTTTATGACCGTTTACCTTTCCCACATCTACCTGTCAGCCCTTCTGGAGGGTGATAAAGTCTGTCAGTTTTCCATACAAAGTCCTTTGAAATGTCACCTCGATTTTTCAGTGTCCTCAGTTTTTATTTTTACTTTTTTCTCAAGTCATCATTTAGTCCTTTGAAATGTCACCTCGATTTTTCAGTGTCCTCAGTTTTTATTTTTACTTTTTTCTCAAATCATCATCACTCTCTCCTACTGATATTCTCTGTGACTGTTCCAATGTCTGGTTGTGAAGCCTTAGAACTAAATGCTAATGTCGAGCTCATCGTCTTCCCTGTGGGAAGTGGCAAAGGTCCCAGTGACGCCCTCAGCTTTGTCACAAAAGGCCTGTGGGCCGGGGAACCGGGCCTCAGCTTGCAGGAGGCCCGGGCTGCTTCCCCAGCTCTGCAAAGCATGTGGTGAAAAAATGCCATCACTTGCATTCAGGCCTGAGCGTCTCCTTCTCTGTTTCTGTATGGTTTGTGGGTGTCTGTTTGCCATACATTTAGTCACCCTGGGGACGGATACATGGCACACACCCGTCACCGCCATTGCACTGCCCGCTCCTCCACCCCAGGACCCTTTCCCATCTCCACACGTCCACTGCCCCGTGTCCCCTCACGTCCCTTTTGTCTTGTTCATTAAACTGTTTGCTTTTCGGGTTTCTCACATCAGAGGAATCATGTGATCTTCAACTTTATGGGCCTGATTTACTTTATATGTGTGCAAAAGAATTAATCTAATCCCGTATCTCTCACCCCGTACTTCTTTATTTTTGTAATTACAATTTTGACATATGGTGAATCAGCAACAAATATTTTTCTATAGCAAACAAGGAGTATTGAAAATTGTTTTATGGTTCCCAAATAGATTTACTTTGGTACGAGAATGTTAATTGCATAGAAGGGGCATTTGAGATCTGACGAGACTCACTCTCTGGTGCATCTAGAAAGTCTGAAATATGCTTTGTCTGTGCTTGGAAATAAGATAGAGCATTAGAAAAATATTGTTGGGTTTCTGTTTGAAGTACTAAATCTTGTCGATTCCATCTGAGGTAATTATTCCTGATTTATTACTGAAAATATTTTGCAGAATGGTGTCACTAAACTCGTTTTCCCTATAGCTTTATGAATTTTAATTAATCTAATCCCGTATCTCTCACCCCGTACTTCTTTATTTTTGTAATTACAATTTTGACATATGGTGAATCAGCAACAAATATTTTTCTATAGCAAACAAGGAGTATTGAAAATTGTTTTATGGTTCCCAAATAGATTTACTTTGGTACGAGAATGTTAATTGCATAGAAGGGGCATTTGAGATCTGACGAGACTCACTCTCTGGTGCATCTAGAAAGTCTGAAATATGCTTTGTCTGTGCTTGGAAATAAGATAGAGCATTAGAAAAATATTGTTGGGTTTCTGTTTGAAGTACTAAATCTTGTCGATTCCATCTGAGGTAATTATTCCTGATTTATTACTGAAAATACTTTGCAGAATGGTGTCATTATACTTGTTTTCCCTATAGCTTTATGAATTCGATTTATGTGTTTTTATTTGTGTTTTATGGATTACAATTATCTTAAATTTCCTATATTTTGCTTAAAAGTTGAAACTTAAATATTGTATAAGCTCAGTCAAAATTAGGAAATATTTGCATCTTAAAATTTTCTTCAGACATTAATATTGCTCAGGTTTTTGTCTTTGATGTTTGCTCAGCATAGCATTTTCAAAATGAGTATACTTTCTATTATCCCACATTTGATATGTTTATGAAAACATGTTTATTATATGAGCATTTATAAATATTCATACATTATGCATGATATATGCATCCCATAAGATACATACATTTATGTTTATACATAAGCAACATACAGATGGATGTACTTCTTTTTCAAGTCAGGCATGAAAATCAGTTTTTGCATGAAAGATCAATACATTAAGTTATGTAATTAGCACATATCAGAATTTATTTGTGCCATCTTATTTTTTTGCTAATAATATATTATCAATATTTACTTTTTTCCTTTTAGCTATCTTGTTTGTCATGTAACATTTTACCATGCTGAAACAAAGCCATTTTAATGTTAAATATAACAGATATTTAGACATCCAATATCGATGTAAATAATATCTAGAGATTTTAAACGTAGATTTAAAATGCTCTCATGCTGGGCGAGGTGGCAGCACCACGGGAGGCTGAGATGCGGCATCATCAGACCAAGGCCACCTGGAAGGGGGGAACCAGCCCACCCTGCAAGAAGCACACAAGCAAGCAAAGCACTCGGACTGTGCTCACACAGACATTGCACTGTTCCTTTGTCTGAAAGAATAAAAACACAGAAAACTATATGGAACGTTTTGTATATTTGCATTAGACAGGTAATAACGGTTGTCCTTCCAGGAGTTCAGCCTGGCATCAGCACTGCTGCAGTTGATGTCCACGATTTTCCGCTGCCTGCCTGGAAATCAGCCATGGCTCAGGGCTGGAAAGTGAGGCAGAGGCCCCTGGGTGCCCACATGAGAGGACCAAAGCTGGGGGGCAGGGAGCCGGGCTAAGCTCAGTGGATCACTGAGGAGTGCAGGAGGAAGGAAACTGGCCAGGGCTAGAGAGAGAAATAGGAGGCGAGTGGTAACCCTGAGGGACACTCACAGGGGTGAGGGCAGTGCTCTGGGCCTGGGCCAGGAAGGCAGCTCAGCCCCCAGGGATGTGCTACGGTGCATGGGGCCATCTAGCCATGGTTATGGGGAACTTAGGCTTACAGTGGCCAGCAGTACACGTCTCACAGACACACAGACACACAGACACACAGACACACACACACACACACACTTCAAAAGTAAGAACCTAGAGGATCCATTTCCAAGAAATGTGGTTCCTGGAACAAATATCAGCAGTATATAAAGGAATACAGTAATATTCAGAGCCCAAGAATGAAGTTCCATACGTTGTTATCCTAATAAATTTACCAGGCATGATCAGTTTGAAAACATACAACCCAAAGTCATAACATACTTAATATAAAACAACTTACAATTGATGTGTTCGTTCGGATTAGCAGAAAATACACCAAAATAATTTTATTTAGTGTATTATATTGAAATTTTTCAGTACTACCAAGCATTCATCAATTTCACTCTTCTAACAGCCTTGAAACATTTCATGTTTTGTGAAAGCACTGTAATTTATTTCACCAGATATTGTGAATATTTTGTTTCTAGGCTTTTTTCTCTTATAGATAGCAACTGGTGTGATATCAATTTCCATCTCTGAGTGCCTGCACAAGTATGTCCACAGGACTGCGTAGTTTATAGACCCACCTTATAGAGACATGGGGCACTCAAAGAGCAGCCTTTTATAGAGTGAGGCTTAGAGCTTTCCACTCTGTCATGAGGCTCCATCACCACCGGCTGCCTCTGCTCAGAACCTGCACCCCGGAATCCCTCACACAGTGGCCGGTCTCTCTGGGCTCCCATGCACCTGGCTGCTTTTCCTGCACCTTCCTTACCCATGGACCCCCCTGAGAGATTTCATAGACATCAGAAGACAGCATGGGACAAGCATACATACGTAATGGTGTGTGGGCCCAGTGTGCTCCTACCCCTGTTCTCTCATGGCATCTGTGTGGGCTCTTCCTGCTTTTTGGCAAGGATAATAATGCTGACGTGAACATCTGTGCCCAAGGTTTGCACATGCACATTTTCAGTTGGGTTAGATCCATGCTCTTGGTGACTCCATATGCAATTTTTTTGAGGAACTGAAAAACGATTTTCACAGCAGTAGCACCATCACACATTGCCTTCAGGAATGTGTTCTACATCATCAGTATATTTTCAGTATCAGTGTCTTTCCTTATTTTTATGATTCTAATTGGTGTGATGTGATATTTCACCAAGAGTAGTTGTTTCCCATTGACTAATGATACTATGTATCTTCACACATTGTGTTCTCAAGTTGTATGTACTTACCTAAGAAGGCCATAAGTTTGTTTTTCTTTATGGCAAAATACTATCCCATTGTTTATAAACACATTTTCTTTATCTATTTCCATATATCTCACCATTTAGTAATGTAAAATCAAAATGAATCAAAGATCTAACTATTAGAACAGAAATACTTAAATTACTGGAAAATAAAATAAGCACAACTCTTGAAATCATAGGCATAGGCAAGGACTTTCTGATCATAACCCCAGTGGCACAAGAAGTAATACTGAGAATCAATAAATGCGTCATATACATTAAAAAGCTTCTGCATGATGAAGGAACCAACCAATAACAGAGTGAAGAGACAACCTACAGAACTGGACAAAATTTTTTGCTAGCTGTTCCTTCAACAAATGACTAACACCAAGAATATATGAAAGCAGGGTCCAGGATTTAGCTCCGTATTTCCCACACCTTCCTCACAAGTGAAAGGACCCGAGTTCAATCTCTTACAAAAAAAAAAAAAAAAAAAAAAAGAATATATGAAGGCAAAACAAAATCATACTCCCCAATATAAAAGACCCAAACAAAAAATGGGAAACTGAACTGAATAAGCAACTTGTCAGAAGCAGAACAAATGGCCAGTAAGTACAATAAAATATTCTCAACATCATTGGCTGTCTGCCAAATGTAAATTAAGCCTACACTGAGATACCACCCTGCAAGAACAGCTACAGTCAAAATCTGAATCATAATAAATGCTGGCATGGCTGTGGGGAAAAGGCAACCTTCTACACTGTTGGTGGGAGTGTAACCTCCACTAGGGAAATCAGTCTGGAGATTCCTCCAAAAACCAAAACTAGAAGTTCCATTTGGCCCAGCCATTCCCCTTCTAGGTATCTTCCTGAAAAAGTTAAAAGCTTCCTACCACAGTGATATGTGCACACCTGTGTTTACAGCAGCAAGTGCACAGTAGGCAGATCTTGGAATCGGCTGTTTTTTAACTGAGTTATTTTTCTTCTGTAGTTGAGATTCATACAAAATATTGTTGTATTGTGCTTTCTTTCTCTCTCTCTGCATATACAGTGATGCCTCGGTTGTTGAATGGCTCCAAGCTAGAACTTTCCACTACTCAAAAGCAAAATTCAAAGAAAATCTGCTCAGTGTTTGTAACACTGCTCAATGGTCCAAGTGAAAAGTCGACTTGAAAACTCTTCATGGACTGAGAGTGGTCACACGTCATCTCATCTCGCTGCACTCAAAGAGGTGATGTTTGTGTGAGTGCCGCTCTCACCCAGATGAGTTTTAGTGAGAAAAGGTAAAAAAGACAAAGAGGAAAGACTCCACAAAGTGCACCAAAAACAGTCCTTCTGGAGGGGGACTCACTTCCAAAAATCGCTTGGCCTCCTCTTCCAATTTCTCTCCAGTTTCCAGGATGCCAGGAAGCCTCCAACCCAAGGTAAAGTACAGTGTCTGCACAAAAAATGTTTAATT